TAACCATTCAGCCTGGTTCAGTACTACCAATAAATTTCTGTGTTTGTCGAATAAAGTCTCTCCAGAAACTTTGGGAAGTCTTTTTTCAACTGATGGTTCTTGCTCGTTCCTCTTCATCTCCATCTTTTTTTGATATTCGCTTGAATAAATCCAAGTCGCCAATGGAGATGTTGTGAATGTTGTAAAGATAGCTCTGTTAAGTTAGAATCAAAAAAAAAGTTTATACATGATTTTAGAGTTATAACGTCAACTACTAATTAAAAATTAAAAATTAAAAAAAGACTTCGCCTACATTGTAACCATAATAACGAAAATCCTATCATCAATAATCCCCGCATCATATCCGATGTTAAGCACGATCAATTCTACAAGACTTTTTATTATAAAAATATGTTAAAGAGTTTTACATCTAAAATTGAAACTTTTCTATTTGCAAATTGTCGAGACCGTAAGCAAAGCAAAGTTAGACGGTTGGTTAAATAAATTTAAAGACGAACATCTGTCTGCTTACCCTTTGCAACTCATTAAAACTCCAATCGTCAAAGCTTCTCTCCATTGAAACCCGTTAAATCTTGCCATGAGACCGGCTCCAAAAATCTTTCCCATCATTGCACATGTGATAACTATAATAACCCAAAGCCACACTCTTCCATCATTTAATAAACTCAAATTGGTTTTTAACCCTGAAAGAGTAAAATACTATTTCAAACAATTTTTTTTTTAAAAAAAAATAAAATAATAATTAGTTGATATTTGCCAGTGAACCTTTTAAAAAAAAATAAGAAAATCGACATAAATGAGTGTAATCTTACGATAGGTAAAAATAAGACGTTGATCAAATCCTCAATTTTTTCCGTGATTCTAACAGCGAATCCGCCTTCATGTGGAATGATAACACCCATGATGAAGCCACCAAAGATTGCATGAACTCCAATAACACTAGTCACGAAAGCGGACGCGAGTACAGAGCCTAATGTAATAGCCATCATGATAAGGGTAGGACCATTATCATTGCTACCAGTTTTAACAATAATTTTGAGTAATATTGGACGAACAATAAAGACAATCACCAAAATCCAGGCAATGCAAAGCAAAAAAACATAGAGAGCCGAAAGGTTATCTGTCGAATGAATCAAAGAAATGACTAATGCTAATAGAATCCACGAGATCACGTCGTCATTAACGCTAGCGGTTAATGCAGCGATTCCTACAGGAGTACGAATTAATTGGAGTTCTGATAAAATACGAGCAAGGACGGGAAAAGCCTAAATAAAAAAAGAAACATTGGAATTTTTTATTTTTCTTCCCAAAATAAAAAGATTTCAATGTAAAAAAAATAAAAAAATCTTACAGTGATTGACATTGCTACGCCAATAAATAATATAAAACTTGAAAATTTTGCAGTTTTATCAGTGAATTGAGAATATAATCCGAAACCTACAGCAGATCCCAACGCGAAACATGTGATAATACCACCAAACGAAATACTGATGGCGGCTCTTGCATTGTTAATTATCGATCTTGGGTTCATCTCAACTCCAATGAGAAATAGGAAGAAAACCAAACCAAACGTTGCCGCTAGATGAAGCATAGATCTAGATTCTTCGGGGAAAATAGTATCCATATAACCAGGAATTTGACCGAATACTGAAGGACCGAGAATAATCCCACCAATGACTTCGGAAATAACACGAGGTTGACGGAAATGAGATAATGCCACGTTAAGAAGACGTGTTAAAGTAATTATCAATATGACCTGTAATTAAAACAATATAAAGATATTTGATTGAATGAATTTAAAAACATGAATAACACTTATATTACCTGAAGAATAAAAAGGGGAATAGGATTTTCGGGATTATACGCTGTGGGTATTTCACCCGATAAAATGCCACCTTCACCCATTCTTTTTGGATTGACACGTGATCAAGTTCAAAATGGGAAACCTTTATTATATTATATATATGTCGAGATGATGAGGTTTTTTTTTTTTCTTATGAATTTGAAAATTGCTTTAACGTGGAATTTACCATACTTAAATAAAAATTTAGAATCGATACTCCTTTCACAAATTAGTTGATTTTATTAAAAATTTTTGATGGAATTCTTTGATATGAATTGTGCCGCAGTTATCACAATGTTTTTGGACGGGGTCAAAAATTGATGAAAGAATTTGAGCTTAAATATGTTCAATTTATAAAAAAGATTTTGAAATTTAGAAATATCGTCGATATGACATCACATATGCATCATCTACATGTTCCCAAGATCATTTGACCTGGGCTGGGGAACCCTCTTGTCCTTACAAACATAACCTTATTTTTAAATTAAAATAACTGACGAAATGGGAAATTGGTTTGAATATTGGATCATCGAGAAAGAAAATAGTTAGTTACACACGTTACACGTGTCAAATAACCATAAAACAAATTTATCAATTTTTTCCAAAAAGCAATCTTCAATGTTACACGAATTAAATAAATTCTTTATGGATCGTTTGATTTCCATCTATATTTCAATGAAATTTAAACATCCTAAATCGGTCTTACCAATCCGAAAATTTATTTCCTCTTTGCGACGTCAAAATTCGTAAAAATGTCGCTGTTATCGTTGGATACGGTGGTTACAGTTTTCACACTAATTATCATTTCTTATGTATCATATTACTATTACAAATACTTTACAAAAAGCAATCCATTAATTGGAAATATTCATAGATACGGCATCATCTACAAAATCATCATTTAAAATTAGATCCGTTAACGAAGGATTTGATGAGCTTGTTTTTACATCAAAATGGTATCGTTTTTAATGGATTTGACACAGACGTTGATGGTATCATCAATCCAAAAATAAAATTGATTCATTGACGTGATAAGAAATTTGCTACATGCATTTCACTTTTTTTATTTCATACCAAATTTAAGGAATTATGTTCCTCCATTTATGTTTTATCGAAAAAGAAAATTGATTGGAATCTTAAAGCTTGTAAGGGAGGCCAGAAATGAGATAGATAAAGGAGGGGGACAGAACTTTAAACTCTAATCTACGTTCATTATTTTGCTATTACAAATACCGAAATGGATTCCAAGCAGATTAATAACCTTGATGAAACTTCCAGACCATTAACTGACGTATAACAATTTTGAAGTATTGTCTGTGGAATTGATACATCGGGCAATAGTTTATGTTTTATAATTTATAACCTGAGTAAACATCCTCAATATAAACAACGGTTTTATTGAAGCAATTGATGGTTTTTTACGATCGAGAAACATTCACTTACCTTGGAAGAATTCTTCCGTGAATCATTGTTCTGAATTAAAAGTTCACATCACGAAAAGAAAGGCTTAAAGAAATAGTGTCCTTTTATCACGCATTTTATTACATAATGTTTTTTAATTTTAATTTAAATATTTGAGTCGGTCAAGTTAATTCTAATAATCAAGTCACATGTTGCATTACGTAAACCTAAATTTCTTGGGAACCAATCATTTACGTCCAAATGGAGTTTAGGGGAAAAAAATATCCTCAAAGAGAAAATATATGTCTAATTCCTATTCACGATCGTCGATGCATAATTCTGAAAATCATGGGATAAACATGTGAAAAGCTAAAATTTAATATACCAAAAATTTTGCTAAATTAAATTTTTTTTTTTTTTTTTTTTATATAAAAACCTATTCCTTGTAATATTTTTTTTTTTCTCTCCCCTTTTTTTATTTTAACCAAAGTATTAAAATTTTTTTTTTTTAACAACATGGATCCTAACTACAGTGATCAAATCATACTTGGTAAATATTTTTATAGATTGACAAAGCAAATTGAACGAATTGATCGATAATTAATTCTTTTGTGATAATAAAATGATCTTAGAAATTGTTAGGGATCTTTTTTCTTATGATGAAGCAGCACATAAAAGAGTATTAGATCATTATTTCACTGATGACGCAGTTTTATCCCATCCATTCTTGACCGTTGATGGGACCCATAATATCCGTAAGGTTTTTCGTGTTTGGACTACTTTCAATCAACAAGAACCTGAATTTAAAATTAAAGAGGATGTAGTTTTCGAGTATGTTTGCCTTTAATTGTTTATATAATATATCTTTTTCACAAAACGTTGAAATTTGGGCTTCGATTAAAAATAACTTACATTTGTAGTGGAGTCACAGCCGTGATTTCCGTTAAGCAACATTTACGTCCAAGTATATTTCCCTTAATCCATTTTGTCGTACCTGCTATAACGACACTTAGGTTTCGTCAAGAATCAGATAAATTGCTCTACATTTATAGACAAGAAGATAATTGGACCCTTGAAGGACTTATTCAAAGTGTTCCTTTAGTCAATTGGTTTTATGAAAATCTCATTCGTAAGCTAGTTGTTGGACGTTTAATTATCGGGACTGGTTCTTTAATCTCTTCTGCTAAATCCTACATTAAGTAATCCCCTTATTATAGATCTTAAATTTCTGGTTTTATTTTATTTATTTAATTTTTTTTTTTATTTTTTTTTTTTATTTATTTTTTTTGAGAAAATGATAATTGCGTTGAACTTTTCGTTAAATAATTTGTGTAAATTTTTATTTTAATACATAAAAACCACGACAGCGTCAGTGGTTAATATTCAACAAAAAAAAATAAATTTCCCTGGTACATGAGAAATTCTTATTTCCTGTGTTATCATTTATAATAATACAAATTTGTCATTGTTCGTTGGTTACATTTTTGATCATTGGATCATCTGGCCGAATTAAGCTTTAGTAAACTGATCTGTGCTGTGTCACGCTGTGTAATAACGAAGTTATTTTTATCCGTAATGTGATTTGTTTTGAACATCACTAATTTTGTACCTTGTTTTCAAACATTAAGCCTCATAAAATGGCATACATAAATTTTGACTTTTAAATTCATTCAGCTGTTCTTTTCCTCAAAGTCCGCTGTTGAACTTAATATCAAATTCAAAAGTTCCTTTGATATTGATAATTTTTAACGCAAAGATGCAAGATATTGATATTGGAACGGATTTTAGTCCTTATGAACCTTATACTCATCGTTTACGTAAAATTCTTGAGGAAGAATATCCTGATGGTTCACAAGTTATTCGTGAAATTCTTCAGAATTCTGATGATGCCGGGAGCACTGAGCAAACCTTCATTTTGGATCATAATACTTATCCATCGAACAGCTTGTTTAAAGCTACCTTTAAAAATTATCAACGACCAAATTTGAAACTTGATAGACATCAAGGTCCAGCATTGTTGGCAAAAAATACCACTACCTTTGGAGATAGGGATTTTCAATCTTTGTTGAAATTGGCCGATAGTGAAAAACGCGATCAATATGATAAAATTGGAGGTAAAAAAAAATTTTTTTCTTTCGTTTATTATATTTCGCGCAGCAATGTATTCTAGTATTAATTTTTTTTTTTATTTTTTTATTTAGTGATGGGTGTCGGTTTCAATTCAATTTATCATATTACTGATTCCCCTTCTTTCATCACTGGTGATAAATACATTATTCTTGATCCACATAAATGGTGTTTTAATGGTGGCATCAAATTCGAATTTATCGCAAATAAATTGTCAGACAAATATCCTGATCAATTTGCCCCTTTTAATATCCCATGTGATAAACCATTTGACGGCACCATATTTCGTTATCCTCTCCGTACTAAAGAGGATTCTGCGGATTCGGAAATTTCTGACAAAATTTATCAACCTGAAGAAATCTTGGATATGTTTCATAAATTTTACGAACATGAAAGCATTAATTGCTTACTATTTTTAAAATATATTGAACGTATTTCTTTTTACGAATTAAAAAAGGGCGCCTCTGAACTTGAATTGCTATATACCATTCAACTGGAAAATGCTGACAAGATTCGAAAACAACGTTGTCTGATTGCGGAAAAGATTGGACCAATGATGGACGAATTAAGATTGGGTAAACTTAAAGGCAAAAATCAATTAGTTGCATCTTACGTTGCATCATTCTGCCGTCAAAAAAAAACTGATCCTAAAAAGCATAGTTCATGGTTAATTTTGAATTACCTTGATGATTTACTCGAAACGGAAGGATATTTTCAGGAAAACTTTAAAAAAAAATATAAGGGATCACAAGTTTATCCCTAACGTTGGCTTAGCCATTCCTTTTAACGATTTAAAAGATGAGGGAAAATTATTTTGCTTTTTACCCCTTCCCATCCCTATGCCCTTTCCTGTTTCCGTTCATGGATATTTCGCGGTAAGGTTTTGATATGGTTACATGATCACTATGATTTCTAATACTAAATTTATTTGATCTTATTCTTTTCTTTTAATTTTTCTAATAGGTTAATACTAGTCGACGTTCTTTATGGTCGGTTGCGGAGAATGAAGATTTGGTAATTAAATCTTTTTTATCATATTATTTTCATAAACGTAAAAATTAAAAACACTATTATGGAAATATAGGCGGTTGGTGCATTAGCAAGCACGAAAGTGTCATGGAATCAATATTTATTTGAAAAGGTATTACCCAAAGCTTGGGTAAAATTTCTTTGCGAGATTTTTCTTAACGTTCCTAATATTCAGTCTGAAGATATATCTAAATTCTGGCCAATAATTAAAAGAGGCACATCAAGTGTCACGTATACTTTTTGCAAGGATCTATTGCAAAATGTCATAGAAAATCTTGGTGTTGAGGATCATGTGTTCAAAGGACCTCCTTCCATTGGAACATTACCTGAAGTTTTAGCAAATTCATATGATGCTTCCTCATTCAAAGGATCCCAATTTTATTGGTTATCAATTTCTAATGGATATTTGGAAGATGAGAAATCATATAATTCTTTGATTGAAATAATTAGAAATATTGGATTCCCTGTTATGTCAGCATCTCCTCTCATAATTGAAGCCTTGAAAAATTCTAAGCATAAATACTCGCTTAAATTTTTTTCTCCCACCATTATTCGTAATTATTTAAAACATAATCGTGATAGATGGCAAGATAAGTTGTCAAGAAGTGACGTTTTACTATTATTTGAGTATGTATTAAAGGACAAAAATTTTGAAGATTTGGAAGGTTTTAAAATGATTCCGCTTGCGGATGGTACGTTTGGTACTTTGCAATTCGACGATTCTTGTGTATATATTGTTCCCAATAGAGACCATGAGGATGATGAACTTAACCTTTTCGAAAATCAATTGAACAAATTTATTGATAAATCGATTGGTTACGAATTGTATATGAGTTTGTACAGGTATGCAGAGGCTGGATGGAAACTCAATATTAAGGTCTTGGATGAAAACGTCGTTGCCAATATGATTAAAACATCGTTGAATTTTGCAGAAAATGCAAATTCTGAAGAGATACCAATGTCAAATCATCGTGAATGGATTTATAAATTATGGAATAGCCTGAGAAATAGAAATTGGGATTTGAGAAGATTTGAGAACGTTCATTTGATTCCAACAAGTCGCTCTTTTCTCAGAAAGTTGTGTACTCCTAAAAAAATTTTTTCCGCTCGAACGACTTTAACTTTTAATTTTGAAAAGTTTGGTACCGTTTTCATTGAAGATGAATTTGAAGAAATTGCCGAATGGAATAAGTAAATACTTCTGAATTTAAACTACCTTGCATTATGATTTAAATTTAAACAAACTAAATACCATTTCTACTTTTTGTTTTTATTTATTATCTTTATTAGGTTATCTCCATATATTATGAAGCCTAACAATATTATATCGGTTCTAAATTCTCTCAAAGTCGATAATTCATTTCCAGAAAATGTAAATCACGCGTTACACGTTGACGATGTATCGGCGCTCGTTGAATATTTATCAAATAATTTACGATTTGTTAATAAGAAGGACCTGGTGCAGAATCTTGTTAAAGTTATTAAGCATCTTCCGATTTTTACCAAAGTTGATCATACTTCACCAGTTCCGTTGTCGCCTGGAAATACCAATTGGTATCTTCTTCCTCGTAACGAAGAAAATTCATATGGTAAAATTATCTGTCCAAGCAATAAAGGAGAATTTCTTAGTACAAGTTCACAAAATTTACGTTATATACTGGAAGATATTATTAAGATTCCACGATTAACTTCACAGATTTATTGGCAAAAATATGTAATACCGTATCTCGGGTCACAACCGCGAGAAGTCTTAGACACAGTAATCGATATTCTTTTTGATATGTTACCATCCTTACATGATGATGCAAATTTAAAAGTTGCTCTTAGAAAAACTTCTTTTGTACCTGTTGGTACACATCAAATGTCGCAGCATCAACAATTGCCTGCTATAATAGAGTTAGAAAAACCAACAGGATTATTTGATCCAGAAGTAAAGGCTGTGGCTTATCTGTTTTTTGAAGACGAACGAGTCTTTCCTGCTGGCAAATATTCGTTTTCTAAAAAGTTCCTAACGGGTTTGAGATTATTAGGATTGAAAACATCCCTTTCTTCAAATGATGTGATTAATCGAATTGATGCTATCGTGGAACGAAAAAAATCTAACGTTCAAGATGATTTAATTTATTACAATGCACTTAGACTTTTCGAATATATTGACAATAATTGGGATCAGTTAAATAACTCATTATTGAATACAATTTTAAAACAAGAATGGATCCCTACGGTTGATAAATACGGAAAGAAATTCTTCTCGAAACCTCAGGATTGTTATTGTCAAAAGGATAAAGATTTAGTTTGTTTATTTGCTCCAATACTTGAATCTGAGGTTAAGAACAACAAATTTTTAAAAGATTTGAAATGGAACACATATCCCGATTTTGAAAAGGTTATAAAACAGTATGAATTATGTTACGATGGGGTATCAAAAATGCAACCACCAAAGAATTTGGAAAAGATTTGTTACGCGATTTACAAATATATGAATGAAATTTGTCAAGCAAATAATAAGAATTCAAAGGAAGATTTCAATAAGATGAAGATGTTTTTGGAAAACAAACCGTGGATTTTGTATAGAAAGACATTTTATTCGGTTGATCAAGTTGTCTTTCGTCTTCAAAAAGAATTTCAAGTTGAAAATTTCTTAATCGTTGAACTTCCAATAGGATATACAAGTGAATTCATGCCTTTGTTTAAAACTATGGGAGTTCGAGAAGAGGTCGGAATCAAGGACTTGATATTGATTATTAAGAATATGAGTATAGAAAATATAAACAGGAAATTATCAGAAGACGATATCTTTCAAATATTACAAATACTTGAACAAATTTCCAAAATACAGAGAGGTGCTAGGAGAGGAGGAAATAATCCGGAAAACTTGAATGGATTATTAATTCCAAGTAACAATAATGAACTTGTGAACTTGCATGAAATTTATTTTAATGAAATGGGAGATAGAATTGACGAAAAAAAGAAGAGTGAATATATAATTACTCATGACCTTATAACCCAGGACGTCGCTAAAGAATTGGAAATTCAACATTTAGCAGGAAAAATCTATGGTAAATACAGTATATAGTTGTGTTTTAAAATCATGTTTGCATTTATCTAATTTCATCTTTTATCTTATTACTAGGTATAAATTACGAAGATATTAATTGGGAGCCATATGAACAAGGTGAAAAATTAACTACCAGAATAAAAAACATCATTAAGGTAACAATCGATTTTAATGCTTTATTTATTATCCGTAAATTTTTAAAATTGTTAAATTATTATAATGTTATTAGGATTATCAATTAAGTCGATTGTTTGCAGAATTTCTTCAAGTAAGTAAAGTAGTTTACAACCCTTTCAAAATAAAGATTATTCTAAATGGTTTCTACAATGTAGAATGCAGATGATGCTAAAGCCACACGGTTTTCAGTAATAGTAGACGAAAGACCAAAGTTTCAACACGAAGCTTCTAAAAAATCTTTATTATCAGACGAAATGGATGGTTGGCAAGGTCCTGCAATATGGATATATAACGATGCTGTGTTTTCCGAGGATGACTTTCAGGCTTTGATTAAACTTGGAGTTGGAGGAAAATCTCAAGATAACACTAAAATTGGAAGGTTTGGGTTGGGATTCAATTGTGCTTTCCATATTACAGATTTACCAAGCCTTGTTAGTGGAAAGCATATTGTATTCCTAGATCCACATGCAAAATTTCTTCCATCAATAGGGTACCCTCCCATAAAACGAAAGGGCTTTCGAATTAACTTTATTGAAAAGCTATTTAAGAGGAGCTTTCCAGATCAATGTTATCCTTACGAGGCGATAGAGGGTTGCGATTTCTCAAAAGAATTCAAAGGAACATTATTCAGACTTCCACTTAGAACGGAAAAAAGTGAAATTTCGAATCGTATTATAGAAATAAAAGAAATTTTGCAATTATTTGATAGTGTCCAGGGTAATAAAGAGATGATTTTTTTAAGGAATATAGAATCATTTAATCTATATAGTATGAAAGAACAAGAACAAGCTCCTCAACTAATATGGCAAGCGCAAATTAAGATAAGTAATAATCATCGCGAGATTCGTAAAAGCGTAACTGATGAATTTCAGATATATCAGATTACGTTAGATATTAAGAAATTTGATGAAACAGAAAACGAGAATGTTTTGGAAATATGGGCAATTTGTACAGGAGGACATGAAAAAATCAATTCAGAATTTGAAAATTTCTCGAACGAAAATCAGCTCAAGGTAATCAGAGAATTTTATAATTATTTTAAAATATAAGTAGTACTTGAATAACCCATTAAATAAATCCAATTTCCATTAATAAAGCCGAGAGGTGGGGTTGCTTTATTGCTCGCTAGGTCTAATGAAAAATCTTGGAAAGAACTATATTCTGAATTGGTAAAGTATTTATTATTTACCGGTATTCTGCAATTTGTAATTTTGATTATTAACGTTAATGTATGAAAAAAATTTAATATATGCATTGCAGTTTCCAAATCCTCCCAATCTCGAAGGCGAAATCTTTTCATACTTATCTCTATCAATAGTTACCAATTTGGGTGTCCATTTAAATGGAAATTTTTCTTTATCTAGTTCAAGAAGTAATGTTCTACAGTCCGAGAAAGATTTCTTGCAAGCTGATTGTATTGACGCGAAATGGAATCAATATATCCTAAATGAAGTTTTGCCTGATTTGCATGCTAACCTAATAGGACGTATTGTGGAGCTTGAGGAAGCTAGACGCAAGAAATTTATTACAGATTTCACGCCAAACACTTTAAAACATTATTGGCCAATTAAGAACAAATTAACTATGGGATTTTATAAAGATTACGGATTAAAAGTTATTATAAAGTTATGTCTTGGTGAGCATAGAATTTTCTGGACTGAAGCTGATGGCGGGAAATTTGTTTCATTACAAACAGTTAAAATTTTTGAGGGAAAAGAACCAAAAATTGTGGATGTATTGACCAAGATAGGAGTACCAGCAGTGAAACTTGAAGATGACAAGCTTGATCTGCTTAAGTCTGCTAGATCTAATAATCTTTTAAATTACTCACATGTCAGTGGACAATTGGTTTGCGTGGAATTACAAAAGAAATTTTTACTCTCAAACTCTGAGAATGCGAACGATATTTTTCAGGATCACGATTTATTATTCAAATTTCTCGAGTTTATTTTTATTCAGGATAAATGTTTTGACAATCTTGACGGATTGCCATTAATTCCGTTGAGTGATGGTTCTATTGGAAAATTTGGTGAAGTTTATTACATTGGTAAACCAAAAGTTCAAAATTTGTTCCCGAAAGTTGGTCCATCAAGATTCGTCTCGGATAAATTACCAAAAGAACTCGTGAATATTATTAGATCGAATCATTTTCCCATATTTAAACAAATTAAAGAGGTTGACGCCAATGCCGTTTTGGATCTTTTGTCGTTAATGTATCTAAATCAAGAGGATGAATGGGATTGGAATCCTGATTCCAATGAAATACCAAATGGGACATGGCTCGGTGAAATCTGGTTAAAATTTAATTCAGCCAAATATATCGACTTTGAAAAGCTTTCGAAATTTCCCCTTTTACCAATTATAAAACCTTACCAAAAGCTCGTTCGACCTGACAGCGAAAACCCACCTTTATATATACCTGAAAATGGACATATTTTATATCACGTATTAGTTAAGCTCAAATTACGGTTCACTGATATGAATATTGTTCATAAAGACCTCTATAGATGTGTATTGCAATGCACTCCAATAAATATTATTAATTCCTTGGGAATGACGCGCGTTAAACTTAATTTAACCATGGACGAATTATTCGAAGGTGGTAATCTTTCACTGAAAGAATATAAAAGATTTAGAACATTTATCAACATGAATCTTGAAGAGTTATTAAGTAAGTGAATAATTAAATTTATGTGTATTATAATTATAATAATTGCAATTTAACGTTTGTACATTTTGTTTATTAGAATATGGCGAAAAACAAAAAAAATTTATGAAAATTCTTCGTTCTTTGCCAATATGGCCAGTACATTCTTGCGACAAGTTTATCAGTGCCAAATCAGGAATTCTCATTCCCTATAATCTTCCAGTCTTTACTTTTCAACAAGATATTGATTTCTACGAGTGTGATGAACTTGATTATAATACGCTCTTTAACTTAAATGACGAACCCATGAGTGATTTAGAGTATATTAAATTTATTTTCGAACACGAACATTTCCAATATTACATGAAACCAGTTCCCCAAGTATATATAAATTTCTTGCAGAATATTTTATTCTCTGGGAATCGTGAAATTGAGAAATATTTTAAAACAAGACCAATAATCCCTAATAATTCACTCAATGCTTTGGTGAAGGCTAGTGATTTATATGATAGATCAGTTCCTTTGTTCAACAAAGTTTTCGAAGATACTGAAAAACTTATACCAACAGAATTACATGACATCGTTTTTCTTGAAGCTCTTGGAAGAATTGGCCTTAAGCGTCATGTGAATGATAATACTTTCATTGAATGCGTACAAGAGATTGAATCACAAATCCGACGAGGTAAATCTTTGATTATAGTTAAAGATCGAGCAACGTATGTAGTAGAGTATTTATATATGCACTTTGAGAAACTAAGTTTCCCAAAAGTTCAATGGGAAAAAATTAAAAATATTAAATTCATCCCATCAGAAAATCTTCAAAATTCATTTTATGAGGAGGCGAAAGAAACTTTGGGATTTGAAAGTTTTGCGGTACTTTGCTCACAGAGATATAAGGAAGTGTGTTGGACACAAAGACCTTTATTTGAACAAACCGTTGAGCCCACTCATTTTTTCAATAAACGTTTTCCAGAAATTGGACATCCATCTATTGATGACATCATTGAACATTGGTTCATCGTTGTGGATAATATACCCAAATCAAAGTTATGGAGATCTCGCGAAAGGTATAGAGAAGAGGTAAAACGTATAATCAAAGAAATTTATAAAGTTATGAATATGTATTCACAAGTTAAAAGAGAAGAAGAGTATATCAAATCGAAAATTAATGTTCATGAGAAGAAGCTATTCTTGAATGGGGAAGATGCATTTAATGTAAAAAATTGGGTAGAAGGAAAGAAACTTGCATTTAATTTACAAGACAATAATAAAGGGGGAACTCATGAAAAAGTCGAAGATTGTTTAATGCCTTACAGGGATTTATTAAGGTGCGCTGGAGCCCTTGAGGAAAAAGTTATAGACATACCAAATGAAAGGTTCATAAATGATCAAAAAGACGTGTTACTTAACGCTTTATTGGATGAACTTGTAAGATATGAAAATCATGATGTCATTTTTATTGTTGGTAAAGAGAGAGAGAGGATTGGTGCTAGCAGATATGTGCTATCGGGTAAGTTATCGTGTTTATTAAACTCCTTTAAATTTATTTGTTCTATGATTTCTTATTTTTCAGATTCTTCTCTTTTCTTTTCATAGCTGCATCACCACATTTCAAAAGAATGTTTTATGGTTTAGGTCAATCAGAAACAATTAATAAACCAATCGAAGTTCCATTAAGTATTGAGCCAGATACGATCAGGGTGCTTCTTCGTTGGCTATACGGGCAACCTTTTGAAGAAGCAAAAAAGTCGGTTTTAACAGGATTTTACTCAAATGATTTATCATTTCTTATCAATCTGTTAGAGGCAACTCATTTGTATCAAGTTGTTTCACTCAAAGATAAAGTAGAAGATACTATTATGGGAAGTCGACTTATTAATGTCCGTAACGCGTATAACATTTTAAAACATTCAGATAAACACAATGCACAAGAATTAAAGAAATACTGTAGAAAGTATATTCAAGCAAATAAGGAGCTTGTTAAAGAGCAGATGATACGCGACTCAAAATCTTGAATTTTTACAGACATGTTACAAATGTTTGAGTTTTTATCGTAATTTTTAAACATTGTTTTTTTGATATCTTGTTGAATGTGATTTTTTCAATGTATGTAGAATTTTTTATGAGATTAAATTCCGAATAAAGGATCAATATTTCGACCGTATATATTTATTGACATTTTTAATATATTCAATGATCTAATTGATAATAAGATTCGCTGATATCTTGTAAATTTAAATACCTAACGGAAACCTTGATGCCATCATCACAATAATACTAATCAGGACTGTGAAATCTCTCGGCGCCAATCAAATTATTATAAAACAGTTAGAACCAATCAAAATCATACATACTGTATATTAATTTTCTTTACCAATGGGAAATTACGTAACATTAATTCATCTTTTTTAATAAATACCGATCTCGAGTAATGATAAAACCATTTTTTTCATGTACTGCTTATCTATATTATTTGCTGTATTACGTCACTACAAGCCACCAAAAGTTTATGCAAGAGTATAAACTTTCCAAATTTTTCATTGATCTGATTAAACAAAACTTGCATTATGTTTCGGTATCTATTTTCAAATGTTCGAAGAACCTCAACATTTCCTATTCGCAGAACCAGAACCTCAACTCCTGGTAGAACCTCAAAATTTCCTAGTACTCGTAAATCTTTAACACTTCCTGGTAGAACCTCGGCATTTCCTGATTCAACTCGCAGAACTTATACCGTGTTAAACCAAAAGGTTACTTACACGCTAAAAGAATTCCTAACAGAATACGAAAGGAGAGCAAAAGAAGCTAGCGCAAGAATGGAGAAGTTTATTAATGTAAGTATTTCATTTTTTATTTCCCTTTATAAATCTGAATAAGTTTGCAAATATAATCTAACAGATTTTGTAATTTATGAAGGATAAAATCGAAAGCCTTATCTCAAGTGTAAATGTAAGTATTTATTTTTTATTTCCTTTTATAAATCTGAATAAGTTTGCAAATTTAATCTAACAGATTTTGTAATTTATGAAGGATAAAATCGAAAGCCGTATCTCAAATGCTGAAAATAAGATGTTGTTGGGGCCATAATTATTGACTGGACGAAAGTAATAATCGAAAAATTTTATGATAAAGAACAGAAGAATAAAGAAAGTCAAGAAAAGAAATAATTTCTTACACGATAAATAACCTATAATCATGGAGGGGTGGTAGTATTAATTTTTTTCCGTAGTGATACGTTCACAAATCAACTTTGCAATCTGATTTTTAAAAATTTGTTGGAAAATTAAAACCTTTGAGGAGGATTAATTGCTCAAATTTTTTTTTTTCATTTGCTGTATTATTTTTATTGATTTTAACATGTGGGTTGATTGCTAGGAAAATCAGGTTCCGGGAATTTTTTAACAAAATTGAGATTTTTATTGCATTTTAGTTTTTGATGTTATTAGATTAAAATGCATTAAGCTCTTAATTTTAGTCAAAAATTTCTCGGAACCTGATTTTCCTAGAAATCCTCCCATGTGATCATTTCAGATAATCAGATTAAAAAAGTGAACTGCTTATAACACGACGAAATCATTACACTTGTGCTCTGGACTTAACAATAGTTTCTCTAGTATACCGAAATTCAATATACCAATATATATTAAAAATTTGACATAATAATATTTTATTCCTCCACTTTATATGAGTGTATAAATATTGATTTTCATATTAAAAAGTATTCTAAAGAAAAAAAAACTAGTTAAATAAAGAAAAACATAAAAATTATTTCTATTAAGGAAAGAGATAAAAAAAAAAAAAAAGATAAATATGTCCAAAAGAAAGAAAAAAAAACAGGAAAATATGTGTCAAAATGAGACTTACCAAATTGAAGATTCCAAGAAAAAAAAAACTGCAAAATATTAAAGAAATAGAGTTAGAAATAGTTGAAATAATAAAAAAAAAACTTGCCTTAAGAGAAAAGAATAGCGGTAAAAGAATAGTGAAAAAATTTATGTATAATAATAATCAACAAATAAACAAATAAAATAAGGCTAGGATAAGATGTTTAAAACCCTGAGTGCAGCCCAATTTTACTAATAACCTTTAGGAAAAACACGTGATTTTTTACTTTTGAATAAACTCCTTCAGGAACACCATAAAAATTCCTTAGATACGTGATTTTAGGTACACGTAATGTAGCTTAGTTAAATATATCAATAATAAAATAAATCAAAATATTAATTTTCTTAATACAAACACTAGTTGAAATCAAAAAATCAGACATATAAAAAATCTGCTTAAAATTGGCAAATTATCAAAAATTGGCCTAGCCGATTGGCATACATTAAGAATCAGCCAAAATTTAGCTAAAATTTGACCTATCTTATTTATAACCAATTGATATACTTGTAATATATCAAAAATTGGCTAAAATATGACTTACCTTATTATAGCCAATTGATGTCTGATTGGAACGATTATATTATTTCTTAGGTATAATGTTATTATTATTCCTAAAGTATAATAGTTTTATTATACCTAAAAAATAATATTATTATCATTTCTTAAGAATGATGCATTTATTATTTCTTAAGTATAATAATTCCTAAGGAATAATGGTATTATCATACTTTAAAGATGATGATTTTATAATACCTTAAGGATGATAGTTTTATCATTCCTTAGGGATAAGTTTTATTATTCCTTAAAGATAATTATTCCTAAGGAATAATAGTTTTATCATTCTTTAGATATGATAGTTTTATCATATTGTTAACGTATAATTCTTGCAAACTACAACTGTTAGACGGGGTGTTCGAGCTGTTTATTCTTTTTAATTGAGCAGTAATCTTTCAACAATTAATGAGGTTTATTCAGGCTGTTTATCAAAGTATTTATACTATTTCATCAAGCAGTAATTCAACAGATTGCCAATGATTTATATTTATAAAATAATGTATTTATTTACGAGTAAAAATAATAAAAAGAAAAGAAATAGAAGAAAATAAGAAATAAAATAAGAAAAGAAAAGAAACAATTTACTAAAACTAGAATGTAACGCAGTAGGCCAGTTGCCTTAAAAACTACTAAAACTAACTTGTCGAGTTTCTCTCTGTCACTCTCTTTATATGAACTAAAAGGCTACCTATTTATATAAAATAAATTATATAGATGAATATAACTAACATGTCTAATATGTCAACCATGTCTAACATATTAACTATGTCTAATATATTAACTATATCTAATATGTCAACTATGTCTAATATGTCAGCTATGCCACATATGTCTGACATATCATATATATCACTTA